GAAAATCTGTCAGATTTCCAAAATAATAAATAAAAAATCAATTCCTTTCATGTTAGTATAAGATATTGCACATTAAGTTCTGGTGTTAATAAAATAGTGCTTGATGTAAGATAACAGAACTATTAATAAATATACATTTTTTTTTTCTCACCAGTAGCATGACTGAGTTTCATGCACAATGTAATCTTCAGGTAATGAGTAGAGACTGACCATTACATAATTTTAATTCTAATAAAATATCTCGATAACACAATGTTGGCATAGTACTTATAGAAAAACTTAAAACACTTAAATAACCCTAACTTATTAAACAAAAGAAATGAATCAGCATAAAAGTAAATACCTGTGGAAATACATTGATCCAGATTAATTTTTACTGTGGAATATTTCATTTTGTTTACTTATCTATATTAAGCATATATTATTTTTTCTATAGTTATAGGTATGCATCTATTTTAATAAAAAAATTAAAAAAAAAAAAACATTAATCCCTGTTTATCTTAAATACAATTTTTTTTTTTTTTTTTAAAACCAAGACTGCACCAATATTGTGTTAACCAAATATTTTGATTCAAATTTAAATTATGTAACGGTCAGTCTCTACTCAGCACCTGAAGATTGTATTGTACATGAAACTGAATTGTGTTACAGGTGAGGAAAAAAAAAAATACATACATACGTACATACATACATGCACACACACAAATTACATTTTCTTATTCTCATTGAACTATTGCTTTCGAGAAATACTAGTTTGGTACCGGTCATTTTGTTGGCAGCAAGAGTTGGTTAATTTAAACTACTACATTTATTAGAAAACATATTCTGTTTAAATACAAAAGGAGTTTTTTTTTAAAAAAAAAGAGAGAGAGAGAGAGAGCTGTATTTTTTGGTTTATACACTTTTCCTGTTACCCAGGGTGTTTTTCCAGCCACAAGTAGAAATTAACCCTCATAACATTCAGACTTGTTTCCAACTTTATGATTCTATTGTTCAACCCAAGGAAAGGACTGTCCAGACTAACTGAATGAAAAATATACTATTCTTATTTCAGACTCAGTCAAATTGTGTGTATGTGAGTGCATGTACTTGTGCATACATTAAATGGCACACACGCACGTAAGTCACTCACATGCAACACATACATTACATACACACATGCAAAGTCATGCACAGACTGTGCGCGTGCAGACAGAATCAGTTCTTCTTTTATAATGTAGATAAGCTTATCTTTTTTATGTTAATTTTGTCAATAAATTTAAAATCTCACAACACAGCTGGTTATCATGGGCACAATACCCAAGTTAGAAAGCACTGGTCTAAACTATTGTATAATTATATTACCGAGTAGAAAATGGGAGTTGGTTAAAGAATTGATTTCATTTTTGTCATTAGCAAAGCTTAGTTCCAGCTTTAAATCAATATTTTAATCACCTTGAATAAAAGAAAGCATACTATTGACAGTTTTAAATAGTGATTTATACAGTTAATCTTACTTATTATAAAACGCAGATTGTGTGTGTGTGTGTGTGTGTGTGTGTGTGTGTGTGTGTCTGTACGTTTATATATTGGATCAGATTTCCTACATTTTACAACCGATTTCAACAAAACTTCACAGGACTGCGTAAAATTACCTTGCGGTGGTTCTGACAGCGCCAAAAATTGGAAAAACACAATTGTTTTTGCACGAAATCAATTTGAAAACATGATAAAACACGATTCTGTCGCCAGAATGAAAGGGGGACAACTCATATCGAGTTATACTTATAAAACCCAGGTTGTTTGTGTGTGTGTGTGTTCACTTATATATGGAATCAGATTTCCTACATTTTTCAACCGATTTCAACAAAACTTCACTTTTTTTTTGGCAGGTAGTGTTTCTTATTGTCTTGCACACTTTTTTTTTTTTATTTTTACATTCAGAATGCTTTAAAAAATTCCATTTACAAGACAATTGTTTATAATAAAATTCTATTCAATCGATAGACTCATAATGATTGAAAACAATGTTTTTGTTTGAGTTTGGGTTTGACCAATTCGTAAAAAAAAAAAAAAAAAAAAAAAAAACTAATTAAGACATGCGTGTCCGTCAACCTTAAACAATAATTAATCTTTGTCAATTTTATTTTTCAGTCTTTATGATGGTCGATACTTGATCTATCTCTTACTGTTACATCCCCCAGGCAACGCCAGGCTCTACTGCTAGTATTGAGATAAAGATATATATTTTTATATATTAAGAATAATATCAGGGATAAATGTATGACAAAATGAAAAAGTTTTCTTTCGACTAATTTTGTCCTTTAGGATTTCAGACTAAATTTGTTATGTTGGTGTGGCTACACATGTGCATGAATGAAACAATAAACTAAAACTTGAAAGAGGAATTTACTTGATCACCTGTAATAATTGTCACAAAAGATATATAGGAGAAACCTCAAGGAATCTAAATAAAAGATTATATGAACACAAATTTTACAAAACAATACATTAAATGCATTGGTTGCCCACTGTAATGAGACTGATCACAATTTTGTATTGAAATTTCTACTCTGATCAAAAGAGAAAACAATTCATGATGATGAAAATGTCAAGAGAGTGCCTCGATCACAAGGTCATCTAGAATAAATTTGAACCCTGGCTTTTACAACATTTCACCATTCCTGAATTTCTATTATCACAATGTGGGATAACTACTAACCAAAAATGATGAAAAAGAAAAAGAATCTAAATGAAAATGGCTAGAGAAAAAAAAAATTAATTTAAAATTCCCAGCATCCCTCATTTGTGCACATGTGTAGTCGCATCAATATAACAAATTTAGTTTGATGAAGTCCTAAAGGACAAAATGTGTCACAAGAAAACTTTTTCCACTTTGTCTTACATCCCTCCCAATACAGTTAATGTTAGTAATAAGTAAAAGGCTTATGTATGGAACTTGCTTGGAGCATCTTTGCAATTTAAATTTAAGGAGTGAATACAAAGTAATAATGGTTTCTATATTTGATTAATTCTAAATAAAATAAATTATTTATAGCAGGTGTGTCTCCAAAGTGGTTAATGCCAATCCCAGGAATCAATAAGACATTTTTGAGTTAATCAGAATTTTTTTTGTACATAATCAATGAACATCCTCACATTACACCCTTTAGTAGACTTCCAGTAGTCAGCAGTGAAATTTCAATGGTCAAAATTTGTTTGAACAGAGTATGGGTTCAAGACATCCATTGAACAGTACCTCAATTTCAACTCCCACCATCCATACAATGTAAAGAAAGTGATCATCCGCTGCTTACAAAACCAAGCAAAAGTCATAAGTGGCGACCCGGAGACATTAAATAAAGAATTGATCAGTATAAGCAGTACCCTACAATGTAACAACTACCCTGGGTACATGGCAGCAGCCCCAATAAACTGGGATAGGCAGGTACAAGAGGAGAACAACAACACTCAGAAAACAATGCCTGCCTTATATGAAGAAGTTATCAGAGAAAATACAAAGGATCTGCGGTTCATATAACATCAGGACAACCTTCAAAAGCGGGACAGCACTTCACAGATACCTTTCCCGAGTAAGACCCCCACCCATAGAGGAGAACATAACTAAGGACTGTGTGTACACCACCCCATGCCGCTGTGGAAAGAAATATAAAGGGGAGACAGGTCACCCCCTTAAGGTAAGGCTTCAAGAACACCAAAAAGCTGTAACACGAGGGGAAGTGGAAAAATCAGGCGTGGCTGACTACATATGGAGAGAAAAGGAAGATCACTGCTCTCTGTGGGATCAGGTTGAAATCATAGACAAAGAACATCATTGGAAAATTCATAAACTTGAATCATGAATCAGCACATATACTAGGCCACAAAAATCTTCTGAGCCAATGAAGCATAGAAATGAATATAATATGGGAACCAGTAATAAGGAGTGCCAGAGAAAAGCAATAATAACAGCAAAAATTGCAATATGAGCACTGGTAAAAATGGTTGCTGAAGACATTAGGTTTATAAGTCCCAGAAATTCATACACAGATGTCCTCCAGGATACATGGCACAGTGGATAAAGGTGTTAGTTAGATCCAGTGACAGGACCCAAAGAGTGCGAGTTAAGGCAGTGGAGGACTTGGAGAGGGGAATTAACAGGAGATAACTGATAACTGACATCCATTAGACATAGCACGTGGAACTAGAACAGACTATCCAGCAAGCGAAATAAAGGGTTTAGTTCAACATTCCAACCACCTGAAGAAGGCCGAAACGTTGTGATAAATATGGCAACAAAGATGAGGACGATAGTCCGAAAAATGTAAATAGTGTACATAATACCTCATATAGACAAACAAAATTTGTTTTCCTAGGAAATTCCATACGATAGAAGATGACAACTCAGCTCCCGGATCTTTTCAGGTGGAGGTTTATTTCTGGTTTCTTATTTAGGATCCAGCTGCCAGTTATTTCTTAAGTTTACTATTTATTTATACTTTTTTTCCTCAACAGGAATAGGCAGGGTTGCCTATCATCGGTTCACACTCTTTCCCAATATTCTGAACAAGAATAGAGGTTTATCACTTGTTTCCTGTTTAGGATTGTGTTTTTGACCTCTTCTAAAGTCTGATTTAGCTCTATACTCCTAATGCTTATTCTGTCCCTATGCTAATATAAATCCACACAGCAATCCTCTACTTTGAGTGGTTCTTGGGCCTTGTACTGGGTGAACATTACTTAAAAAAGAAAGACCTTTTGTCTTGTTTACCCTGAAAAAAAAAAAAAGAAAAAAAAAAAAGAAAAAGGGAATCTACACTTGAGAGTTCCTCTCTTATAAAGAGAAAGTAAACAAATTCTTGGGTTTTACAGTATCTATTTTCGGAGGATCATGTTGAAACACCAGGTTCTATATGATAACTGAAGTTAAGCAACATCAAGCCTAGTCAGTATTTAGATGGGTAACTGCTTGGTAATATCAGGTGCTGTAAGCTTAGATGTGCAGGTGGTTTAAAGGGCTCAGCCATATCATGTTGAAACATTGATTCTCGTACAATCACCAAAGTTAAACAATGTTGAGCCTGGTCAGTACCAAGATGGGTAACCACTTAGGAATATCAGGTGCTGTAAGCTTAGATATGTGGGTGATATCTGAGTGATATATATATATATATATTGGATGTGTGGTTTCCAGCCATATCACGCCAACACCATTTCTTGTACAATCACTGAAGTTAAGCAATATCAAGCTGGTCAGCACCTAGATTGGTTACCACTTGGGAATACAAGGTGCTGTAAGCTTGGGCATGTGGGCAGTGTAATGGATAATGGCTTGGAATTGTTAATTGGAGAGTTGAATCCCAATTCTAGTTGGGTTTGTTACATTCACTTACACACAAATGGACTTGGGAAAAGTATGAATCCACTTCTTCTTCTCCCCCAGCTATGTGTTAATTAGTAAGATAACTAAATCATTATTATGTAAAAGAATAAAATAAAGCTGAGTACAAAAATATTTAGATTTCGGCATTAAATAACCCAGTATCTATTTTTTTGCTTTGAAATTTATCTCTGCATATTGTTGACAAATGATTTATTTAAGTTAACTTCTCAATCATCATGGCATTTGCAGATCTGAGAAAAGCAGCATTGACTGAAATATTTTAAACATGGATTTATACCTTTGCCTACAAATGAAATGAAGCCAATTTCATGCAGAGCTGCCCAAACGAGGATTTTATAACATATCCCAGAAAATACGATGTTACTTTGCTACCAGACAATAAAATCTCACAGAATGTTTTATGCAAAATAAGAGAAAAAGGTGGTGTTACATTAAATACTTCTCTTTTTTTTTTTTTCTTTTTTTTGCACCTGATAGAAAATACATGTATTCATTTGCATACCATTGAACATTAAGAAAAAAAAAAAAAAAAAAAAAAACAGGTAGGGAAAAAAAAAAAGAAAAAGACAAAAAAAAAACAGGTAGGAAAAAAAAAAAAAAAAAAAAAACAGGTAGGAAAAAAAAGACAAAAAAAAAAACAGGTAGGAAAAAAAAGACAAAAAAACAGGTAGGAAAAAAAAGACAAAAAAACAGGTAGGGAAATTTCAATGTTTGTGAGAAATTTCTTCAGAATCATTCTCATGAATAAAATGGATAAATTCTCAATCACTAAAAATCTCATACATTTTCTGTTATTTAAACATTTTTGTTTTGAGATATATAAAAAGATAAACTTATTTCTCCTTCACCTATACAGACAAATTAATATTGTAATGGTTAGTTGAGCATTAATATAAAAAGTTTTTAGTATGACTAAGTGGCTAATAATTATATAAACATCACTTAGTACTAAAATAATCTAAATGCTTACATGCACTCACCAGGTCTGTTAAGCAACTATTCACCCATTTAATATCAGCAGAGAGTAAGAGAACTAAATGATGAAATGTTTTGAGTAAAAGAAAAAAAAAAACCCAGCACAGGACATGAAAATGGCATCTGACTTCAAAGTGAGTAACACTATGGGAGAGTGTTCATGCATGTGTATATTCAAAATGGCTGGATATCTTCTCAATCAGTAATTCTCTACCACGGATTCTCTTAAGTGTGCTGCAAAATATTAGGCCACAGCACCACAGCAAAATGATGCGGCGCCCTTTAAAAAAACAAACCATGTCCACAGAAATTTTTGCCTTAATCTAATTAAAAAAAAAAAAATTTCTTTTAAAAAAAAAAAAAAAAAAAAAAGAGAGAGAAAAGTAACTCATTTTATCATCGCAAAAACTTTTCTTGGAACTCAAAACCATGCACTATCATCAAAACCTGAAAATATATTTGTTCTGTGTGTGCTAGTTTCATTTTCAACCAAAACAAGACATCTACCGGCTCCAACAGCACACCCCACAAAATGCTGAAATGCAAGAGAAGACTTTCTGAACTCAAAAGAGGCAAAAAGTGCAAGACTGGAAACCTTTTTCAAACAAACAAGGTAACTTTTCTCCCTTTTTATGAACTTTAAAAATTTACAATAACCAATTTTTCCACAATCTTTGAATAATCATAAATCTCAAAGAGAATCTGTTTTTCAGAATTTTCGATAATAAATAATTGAGTTATTTTGTTGTTGTTGTTTTTTTTTTTTAATTTTTCAAAACTTAATTCAATTGTCTCAGTTGTTTTTTTATTAAAATAATACTCTTTGAATTTCTTTTTCTTTTTGCGACACAAAAAAAAACATTAAAAATGAAAAATGTTGTTTTTCTTAATAATGTGGTCGTGGGTATTTTCCAAGAAAAAATTTGACTAGAGTCCTATTGTAGATATATTTTCAAAGAAAAGAGAAGAAAAAGAAACTTTTTTTTAAAAATGTTCGACTGCAATGTATCACTGGCATTGTTAATAATTCTCGTCATTTTAATGTATGTTATTTGTCAATAAAAACATTTGATTTTTTTTATTTTATCAATTTTTTTTAAAGATTTTGCATTAATATTACTTTTATTTTTACAAATAGAAAAAACAAATTTTGCAAATTCTAAAAAAAAAAAAAAAAATTACCATGATGCCCACATTTTTAAATGGTCCCCCAAGGCAATATTTGTCTGGGTCTATATTAAGCTAAAAAACTCATCCCTGTACATATGCATGTGTGTGTGTATATGTAGGTAGTAATGGTACAGTGTTAATATTTGAATAAATGAATAAGTATTAAACATTTTTTTCAAACAATGGGCATGTGTGAAATTAAAAATTTAAATCAAATTACCCATTGCACCTTGTTTGTATGTGTTTGACCAGTGACACACTCCGTAGCAGAGTTACTATAGGCACATTGAATCTAACAATGGTTTCTCATACCAAGGAAGATGTAAATTTGAATCCTGTCAGAGAGAACATACTTTTCTTTAATAAGATCTCTCAAATATTCAAGCTGATAAAGGAAAATAAATATACTATTTATTAAATAAATGGATTATCTACTCAAATATAGGTATCCACTAAAAGTAATGTTTAAGTAATAAAATAAATAATATATATATATATATATATATATATATATTTCAATTAAAAAAAAAATTATAATTTATAAATTCATGAATCATTAACCTCTATATTTGTTTTTTTATGAATGATTCACAAATTTATATATATATATATATATATATATATATATATATATATATATATATATATATATATATTTATAATTTTTTTATAAAAATAATTATAAGGATGTTATAAAATCACCAATTATATATATATATATCTCCAAGCTCGATTCCAGTCAAATCTATTACATTCACTTACATGCTAATACCCTTGGTAAAGGTATGAATGCTCTTCTTCTCTATCCAGCTATGAGTGAGTAGCAGGACAGGCTGGGTTCTCTGAATTCAAAACCTGCAGAGGATCATTTGGGGACCTTGTGGCATGTAGTGCACCAGGTCCCTGTATTCGACCCATCAAAAAGTGTGGTCGGTTCTTCACAAAGCCTTCACCACTATAATCAAATCATCTGTGCTCGTGTCTAGGTTGTCGGTTCCTAGGAACTGAGCTGCTTGACCCTCATACGTCTAATACAATGGCAGAGTCCACCATATATATATATATATATATATGCATGCAAGAGAGAAAGAGAGAGCATGCTAAAAGCATAGTGGTACTTAGGCTGAAGATCCCCCAGAGGCATAAAATTAACAATCATCATGCAGTATGTATTCCTATATTTACACTACATATTCCTGACCAACATACTTTAAATGTGACCACCAGGCATCAGATCTTTTTTGAATCCCTATTTGTCAGATAAATAATTTTACAGCATCCACGTGTGTGTGAGTATATATATATATATATATATATATATATATATATTTTCCTCCAATACACACACAAACTTTGTGTTTTATACAGGTGTGCACACACTCATGATAGATCCTCCACAACAAAAAAAAGCCTGCATACAATTTATAAACAAATAACTCATTAAAATTTGTTTCTCATAAAAAAAAAAAAAATAATAATTTTTTTTTTCTTAATTTTCGGCCAATATAAAGTGGGTCACCTTCAAGTGTAGAAGATTAATTGTGGTTTGATTTTCTTAAATTGCTTTATACTTTAGACTTACAGATTGTTAAATTGAAGAAAGATTCAGTAAGCCACTGGATATTAATACAACAGGCAGTGCACTTAAGTGCAAGGGATTTATATACAGACTAACTCAGTGCACTTAAGTGCAAGGGATTTATATGCAGACTCACTCAGTGCACTTAAGTGCAAGGGATTTATATGCAGACTCACTCAGAAGTGCAAGGGATTTATATGCAGACCACTAAGAAGTGCAAGGATTTATATGCAGACTCACTAAGAAGTGCAAAGGGATTTATATGCAGACTCACTAAGAAGTGCAAGGATTTATATGCAGACTCACTAAGAAGTGCAAGGGATTTATATGCAGACTCACTAAGAAGTTTTATATGCAAGACTCACTAAGAAGTGCAAGGATTTATATGCAAGACTCACTCAGTGCACTTAAGTGCAAGGGATTTATATGCAGACTCACTCAGTGCACTTAAGTGCAAGGGATTTATATGCAGACTCACTCAGTGCACTTAAGTGCAAGGGATTTATATGCAGACTCACTCAGTGCACTTAAGTGCAAGGGATTTATATGCAGACTCACTCGGTGCACTTAAGTGCAAGGGATTTATATGCAGACTCACTCGGTGCACTTAAGTGCAAGGGATTTATATGCAGACTCACCGCACTTAAGTGCAAGGATTTATATGCAGACTCACTCGGTGCATTTAAAGTGCAAGGGATTACTGCAGACTCACTCGGTGCATTTAAGTGCAAGGATTTATATGCAGACTCACTGCACTTAAGTGCAAGGGATTTATATGCAGACTCACTCAGTGCACTTAAGTGCAAGGGATTTATATGCAGACTCACTCAGTGCACAAGTGCAAGGTTTATATGCTCACTCCAGTGCAAGGGATTTATATGCAGACTCACTCAGTGCACTTAAGTGCAAGGGATTTATATGCAGACTCACTAAGAAGTGCAAGGGATTTATATGCAGACTCACTAAGAAGTGCAAGGGATTTATATGCAGACTCACTAAGAAG